TTTTTGGGGCCAGCACTGATTGGCCAAGCAATCTCTCTGCAGCAAGTGATGGCCAAGTGGGGCGTGTCATCACAACTTTACGCAAATGTGTCTTTATCTCCGCGGCAGAGGCTCCGCCGAACCCCTGAGATCGGCTCAACGAACCCCTGGGGTTCGATCGAACCCAGGTTAAGAACCACTGCCTTACACAGTGAAACAACATTTAGGGGTGTAATAACCYTCCTGAACAGTTGGTGGCAGTGTTTAACAGTTTGAAACATCGCCAAGCTCTATCACTGAAGAAGAGTAATGACAAGGAAGTGATGATTTTCTTTATATACAGAACATATGTCTGTAATCTGACTTATGGTGTCAACTTTTGGACTTATGGTGACAAATGTTTATTTATTTTATTGGTCACCATAATAGTGCCATTTTATGTTATGAAGGCTGCATGACGCTCTGTGTTTATGTTGAGTAGACCTATCACTAAATCAGAAAAAGTGAAACATGCCTCTTAATTCACTAAATTCACTGTGTAAAATTTATAATGTTAGTTTTAAACATGCAGCTGAGAGTCATCATTATTTGGCACAATGACATGTGTTACAAGTAAAAATAAATCAATAAAACATTTAAAAATAAAAGGCACCCCTAAAGTCATCAGATATGATAAAGTGTGACTAATTAATTTTATCTCAGCCACAGCAGTGAGTTTTAAAACAGGATGATGGAACTAGTTTAATGAAAAATCTGTCTCTGAAATAATTGTATCAAGTGTTAATTTAAGTAGGTAAAAGTATGTTTAACAACCTGGTAAAATACACCAGAATGCAGGAAACACCATTTATTTTGTCCAAACTTTTTCTGGGGGAGAACCCCCAGACTCACCAACAGTGTGTCCCCCCACTTTTAAAATGGTTCTGACGCCCATGTTTATAAAGGTTGTCACTGCCTGTATGAGGACATAAGGAAAAAACCAAAACACAAAGATCTGCAGAAACTTTCAAGTTAAAAAAAAAATCATGTAATGTTCCTGGCCACCCCTGTGTGAGTAGTGGTGCCAGTCCGGCCACCCCTGAGAAAAATGTCTGGCTCCACCACTGGAGAGCTAGGAAAGAATGAAGCATGCCATGATGTGTTCCAAAAAAAAAAACACCTTTCTACTGTAGGTAAGCTCATGTACTTTTTAAAACTTTATTGTATGTTTATCAGTAGATCTCAGTTTCTCAGCACAGCTGATTTGAGTCAAACAGGCAGGTCTGCAGGCCTCTGCATGTTATTCTGAAGCAATCACTCATGGTTTGTTTGATGTAGGGTTTAGATACCATCTTTCTCTSCTTCTTTTCTATCAGGGCTGTTGGCAAAATCCAGTAAATCAAACAAATACCAGCTTGCAGATGAGAGTCATGACACGAGTCAATGATGTGTGCATCATGTATATACTGTACAAACACATTTTGTTACAATTATTCCAATAAGTCACAGTACAGGCTTCAGTCCCACCTGTGCTATGAACTGGATGATCTTGACAAAGATGTTGAGGGGCGTGTCTCTAGGCACCACACTCCGGGAACCTTTGGGGAAAAGTGCTGACACGATGCTGAGCAGTCGACTGAAAAAAAACAGTGATGCTGGTAAAATGATTCACACCAGAACTGATAAATTGTCGACGTTTCTGTTGGTTGTGCAGCTGACCTCTGCGTGACGGTGTTGCTCTCACACTTGATCCTGATGATGTAAACCCAGAGCAGCCTGTAGAGCGACTCCAGAGCAACGCGAGACATTTTGGGATCTTTATTCTATGGATGAAGGAAAAAAAAAAAAAGAAAAATATTAGCCTTTAAGTTTCCTTTCAACAGCTCTTTTACTCACCTGTTAGACTCCAGAGAAGTGAACGTTGACATCTCATGCACATCTCTTTTTAGTCACTTGAGAGCACTCAAAGTCTACCAAACATAATGGTYATAACTCACATTCACTAAATCTTTAAGATGATGTCACCAGTAAAACCTGTTAAMCACCACCATGAGATGCACAGTCATTCTAAAATAAAATAGTCTTCTTTACAAACAAAAAATAATTACAATTTAAAGAAAATCCAGTCATCAACTGTAAAAATGTATATTATTTTGTGTCAATACAGTATATCTGTACATTTACTGAGTCCAGTCTACTTGTGRTTGCATTGTTTTCTTTTACACATTTTAACAAACACACAACAGTCAAGAATAAATGAAAAACTTTTTACATTGTTGAAGAGATAAAAATGTTTAAAATGTTCATGTAGACACATCAAAACCACTAATCTGCAGGTTAATCTACAGATGAGCATCACACACAAAGAATGTTTCCAACAATGGTGTGTCATGATGAAACATCTGTTTGTGCCAGGAAAGCAGGCAGGAGACAGACTCGATCAGCTCTGTGGGTCAACAGGAGGATGTCTCTGAAGTTAAAGTCTGACAAATGATTTTAGACTCTTTCTGTGGAAAGGTTGTGAACAGTTAACATCTTACCTGTTGCAGATAGCAGTTTGAACGACCCCGGTTTGGACTATATTCTACGGGTTGTGCAAATCTCAATTTAGGAAACCCTGACACCTCTGATAGTTTCACATTATTCCGTTCTTATGGCAGAAACTTTATATTTCAACTCACAATGTTTCACATTAAACCAGAAGTGCTACTGATATATGGCTTCAAAAGACACTTCCACTGCAAATAACTTGAAGATTGTAAGCAAATCCAAGGGAAATGCTGGACTGACTGTTAAGTGAAGAGTTAAAACATACTTTGGTCTTTGTGTTGTTCAGACGAGAATAACCTTGTTAACACTGTCAGAATGAAACTATTTATTGAAACTAAGGTTGTTCAAACTGATATCTACTACAGGTAAGATACTGAGTGTTCAGAAGTTTTACACAGAGCCTCACATACATATTATCTGAAGCATCTCTGTAACAGCAGATTCCACGCTGGGTGGATGATGCAAGATGTGACACAAACTAAAACACTGCGTCAGAAACCAGCTCAGAACTACACAGTGCAAAGATCATTCTACACACACACACACACACACACACACACACACACACACACACACATCTCTTTGACTCAGTATTTTCACACAACATTCAGCTACAAATCCCTGTATTCTGAGGCGTACTTTACCGAAACTCTAGAAAAAACAAAGTTTTTGAAACAAAAACTTAAAGCTGACTTCTGCTATAAATAAATCTCACAAAGATTATTTTATCCAAGCTTTTAGAACAACACATTATCAAGTACATTATTTCTAATAGCTTTCAAATGTACACCTATTTTACAACTTTAATGAGAACACTCTAATCCAGATTATCCTGACATGAGCYACTTCCAAACTGCAGGGAAGGCCTGACACAATAACACATTGTGCTGGACGACAAATTGTCTCAGAAATGATTGTGATAAATGATAATATTGTTTGGAGACCTTTTCAAACTAATGTAATGATCAACAGCTACTCAAGCTGTAAAATCACTTCCCACAGAAACTTGGGAAACTTACGGAGGTTTACGAAGTTTCCATAAAGTTAGGGATGGATCGGGAGCAGAGTTGTAACATCACTACCCACAGCTGTCAGAAGGCATCAGAAAAGTCCTGATGCTGCTCTGGTTAAATATCAAGGCTGGGCTGTAGTCATGCTCCGAGTAATCCAGAGGTGTAGGTGGTAATACTTGATGTTGTTGTAGTATTCTCCTGTGGCAGTACACTAAAGACTCATTCATAAATCAGCTCAGTCCAGGACTGACGCGTTTTCTGTCCTCCTCCGAGCATTCAGAAAAAACAGGAAGCAGAAAGGTGAGTGAAATGAGCCCGCCTCTGATGCCCCTCTGAGCCCCCAACAGAGGCAGAGCTGGGTCCGAGTTGGGCTGACCAACTTGTGAAAAAATGACCCGCAATTCAGAAAATGATAATGAGCTGATGACATCAGGGAGCAACTGCAGGATTAATCAACAGACAGATTTATTATTGAGGGAATATTAAAGATGATGCTAACCAACAGCTTTGTACCTTTTTAAAGGGGCAATATCATGTAAAATCAATTTTTTTGAGTTTTATATCATGTTATAATGTTATATACTCATAAAACATGCCCAAAGCCTTGCTTTGACTCATTCATGCATGTCTGAGAAAACCTGCAGCATTTTTATGAAGCCATGCTGAGGAGCAAAATGACAGGTGGGGACCAGAAACGTCTTTTGGTACCAGAAACGTCCCTGGGACGTGTCTTTAAGCCGAACTTCCTCATGGCAGAGCGCACACCCACCCCCCTTCCCACACACCCAGCCATGACTCCTGCAGTGCAGTAACAAAGCAAACAAGTGAAAGTGAAACTGTCTGCTGCTCTCAACACTACTCCTCAC